CCCTGGCCTCTGATTTTCAGTTTCATGATCATTTTACAGACGGTAGGACTCCTTGGGCGAGTGATCAGCTCGTCGCAAGGCCTCTACCTAAACACAGGACAACACGAACAAAGAATAAACACATACCAAACATCCATGCGTTGTGTGGGATTCGAACCCACGATCCCAGCTTCCGAGCGAGCGAAGACAGTTCATGCCTTAGACCGCTCGGTTACAGTGACTGGCAATGTATAAGAATAATATATAAGAATTCAGTTCGTACCTCACAGGAAACAGATCCGAACCCACGATTCCGGCTTCCGAGCGAACTTCATGATTTAGACCGCTCGGCTACCGTGACCGTCAAAATGCCCTCTTAGGGCCAGTAATTCTTAAGATGGCAACTGTAAGGTTTTCCAAAACGTTCGACAACCCTTAACAATAGACACGATCTTCACTAATATTTGTAAATAAAATAAATACTAACTGAATCCATTTCTTGAAAAAACACAGAAACTTAATATTTCAAACCAATAAAGGGCTACGTACGATACATTTTAACAGTGTTAAAATCGAGAAATAAAAACAATAACAGCTTCACTTTCAGGATGCTTTACCCAGGGGGTGTATGGTCAACTTCGCGCTTTTACCCACCGCGTGTGAATGTGGTGGAAGACATACGGCTGTCACAAGCAGACAGTTTCACTTTTTCGGTATATATACAATTTATTTTAACAAAACCCGGGCGAAGAATGGCCCCCTTTCAATATTCTCCAGTCCGGTACCACAGCGTCCAAGATTCAAACAAGTCGCCGAGCGTATAAGAGGTAGACCAGTGTAAAGGAAGTCAGGAAACGTAGCACAACTCTGACGAGTGTATTCCCTTCTCTTTAATCAGATCAAAAAGCATAAGACTTGCCGAAAAAAAAAGTGTTAAAAAATAAAAGGTAAAACTATCCCTGTAACAGGACGTGGAGGCCCATAGGTTAGTGAGACGTCGAGGCTTCCTACATTTTCTATAGACAATCGGCTCACAAATGGCGGTAAGGCTGTCAGCCTTACGCGCCGGACGCCCTTTACCCCCAGGAATCTTCCTGGTACTCATTTCTGTTAGAGGCTGAGTCGACCCCAGGACCATAGTACGGCTTGAGGAATTAGATCAACTGAAAAATCCAATGATCTCATCGGGAATCGAAAAGAAAATATCTCTTGCATTTGCAGGAATCGAACCCAGATTTCTTGCTCGTCTATCGCGTAGCTTATTCACAATGCCGACTGAGCTACATGTATGGAATTTATGTTAGCAAGTTGATAAAAATAAATTCACTCCGGCGATAAAACGCGAAGAATTCAGACATCATCAAATTCCGCGAATCCAATCTCATGGTCTGCACAACACGGAATGAAGACAGACAGACCGAGCGGGCTCAGGTAGCGGTACCCGTCTAGACTTGTCTTCCGGATTAACTTATGAATGTCTGAACCAATCTTTATCAAACTTGATATGTGTATCACGGCATCAGAGCCCATTTCAACAGCGTACTTCATAAATCCCTTCCACCAATTCGTATAGGTACGTTGCTAGGCAACCGCTCAGAAAAAAACGTTACTGAGGCAAAAGGATTACATAAGCAACAATAGAACTGCTAGACACGTCGTTTTCTATGCAGTCCGTGTCGTATCAAACGAGAGTCTGTGTATCCAGCTCTCGTTGCTAGGCAACGGTTCGGTTATCACGTTCCCGTGGCAACGAGGAATCGGAAGCGTCGTTTTCTATTAGACCCATAATGTATAAAAGGAAAAGAGGCGATTAGTTCTTACCAGAATATCTTGTTCGTGGTTTTACTCATACTCTCGTGGAAAATATTTGTATAGTACTTCGTATTGGCCACGACCGCTTCTTTGCAAAACTTTTTAGCTGTATCTTCCATTTATCATCCAGCCATTCGCCGCCGTACAGTCTAGACAGCGACTGCGTGGTAAGACAAACGACAAAATAAATATCTTCGGCGTGTTCTCTGAAATGCCAATGCAATGGTGACTAACAATTTCAAGGAATTCAAAGCAGTTGTGTGAAACAATCCTTGAAGTCAAAGCTTCGTAGTTACCCGAGTTTATCGGGGCACGCGCAGTATCTGTGACAATGAAACCACAGGAAGCTGGAGGAGACACAACTTCCTCCCAGAGGCAGCAGCACAATGCCAGATGAGTCAACTGCTCCTACAAGATTCGCTTTGCGACTCATAAAGCCTTCCTCTGATACTTGCACACATCTCGCGGCCGTACAAGTTTCTCCCATCTTCTGCATGCAGAGAGCATGCTTACAAACTTACTTTACCCTCTTAAAGCTCGACCATTACTACGAGGAAGAGTCAGTAAATAGGTCACAAATGGAAGTAAAACAGCTATAATTAATGTAATAGGTTTTCTATGTGTATCACTAGGTAGCAGCACAGTCCAGCTTCGTGACAGTGTAGGTACCAAACGCGCATGCGTTATGTTCAGGGGATGGTATCAGTAGTCAAAATGGCGATCATGCTTGAGGCGCGCACTACTCATCAGCAGCGTTCTGTTGTGCGTTTTTGGTGGGTACCAAATGACTCAATGCAAAGGATATTCATAAATGAATGCATCCCCTTTATGGTCACAAATGTTTCGCTGATGACGGAAGTTCTTAATAACTCAAATGACTGTAACAACATTTGAAAATACGTTCTATTACTGTAATTAAGGCTATACAAAATCAAAATAGCTCTCTTCGCAGAACGTAAGCTTAAGTTCCGTTATCTGTAACGGGCAAATTACCTTGTCGGAGATGACGTCCCCAACCTTAAGACCGAGGATTTGATACTGCGCTGCCTGCTCAGGGCTATCACACATCTCAAGGGGAAGCGGTGATAGATGAGCATGGAGCAAAGGTAGAATGATGATTAGCAGGGAAAACCCGAATAAACCCGAAGACGAACCTAATCCAGTGCAACTTCGTTCATCGCGAATCTCACGTGAAGTTGCCCCAGGAAAACACTCGATGTCTATGCTGAGAGGCAATAGCCATGAATGCAATGTGTGGGCAGAACGCAGACAATAACCCACAATTAAGTATTGCATTTTAAAACGTTAATATAAGATTTAAATGAATGTGACCTAATCATGAGCTCCAGTCAGCGTTAGTACAAACATGTGTCTGTACGTCAGTTAGCTGCACGTGTAATGCGCACAGGGGTTGGAAATCGCAGCGGATCAATAGCCGCTACCAGCAGCCCCGCGCGGTAACTCATGACGCAGCTCGCAATTCACTGCCTCCTTTCTGCGTAGCGATTCCAAGCTACGGAAGTGCAGTTTCTACCCCTAACAGCACCTCATAACACCGTGTTTCGGAAGAAAGTACTACCTCCATTTACATGGTGGAAGAGATAGTCAAGCAAGTGACGACAATAAAGCTGGTTATTTGCTTTGGTCTATTCTTCTACACTGAAGATGGAGTTAATACGTTCCTTCGACACGTCACAAAACTTATAGGCAGTAATTATGAATGAATGAATGAGGGGTAGGCCTTCTCGGCCCTTGCACCGCGACCTCAGTGGTCTATTGTGCTTCCCCTTTTTTTAATTATTCCCTCAGCAACCCCGCGCTTCAGATGAAGCGCAGGATTTTGGACGTGGGGGCGTCAAAATAGTCACTTGGTTCCATGAAGTATTGACCCAAGTGACCTCTTAAATAAGCTAAAGCCTCACATTCACACAGGATGTGTGTGGCTGTTTCGTTTTCTGTCTGACACCTCTCACAAGTGGGGCTATCACTTAGTCCCAGTAGGCAGTAAGTAGATCGCAGAAGATATGATCTTCATAGCCGTTGCTTAGTGAACCTCAAAAATTCACAGAAATACGTCACCTGCACTTCCCAACTTGAGTGGTTACTGGATGCAGTAAAGTCTCCCTCAGGGAGATGTTAATCCGTCCGTTGGTTACGAACCTTCTGCCTTCTACACAGCAGCTCTTCACTGGACTATTATCCTGAGCCAGCTGAATCTAATCCGCATATTCTTAACCTACTTTCGCAAGGCAGGGCAAAGCTGTTTGTGGGCTTAACAGCACTTACCCTCCTGAAATGGGATTTCAAATATCCGGAAATCACAGGGACGGCGAAATAAGCACAAAACTATGAAGGCGTAGGGAGAAGTCGGATATAGCTCCATGCATTCTTTACCTCAGTACTACAGCGAGGTGTGTGAAGAGCTCTACGCCTCGGCCTACTAACCGTCATGAGAAGCAGCCCCGGTACCCATCAGACAGGAGACTGTCGGTATCGACGGTGTGTAAAACAAACCGGTTGTCCCTATCGGGAATCGAACCCAGCCCGTACTCAGACTCTGTACGAACTGAGGAACTCAATGGAGCGGATCCTTTCTTAAGAAGTCGCCAGTTGCGTACTTCCCAACACTTTATGGAACTCGACAGGTCATTACCGTGTTCACATAAGCCTTTCATTGGTCCCTATCCTAAGCCAGACCAATCCAGTCCATACCACACCATCCTTTCTCTCTAAAATCCATTTTAATAATCATCCTCCCACTTAGGTCTCGGTCTTCCTTGCGGTCTCTTCCCTTCTGGCTTTCCCACCAAAATCCTACACGCATTCCTCTTCTCCCCATGCGTGTTACATGTCCTGCTCATCTTATACTCCTTGACTTGATCATTCTAATTGTTGCTGGCGATCTGAGGAAAGTGATGAAGTTGTGTTGGACGTATGACGCTGTTTCGCTCAGTATTTGTCGGACAGGCACGGTGAACCATACAGAAAGGTTTATCCAAAGTTGCAATGCTTTCGCCTTTTGTTTATACTGCCACACAATGCAGGCACTGTAACGCATGCGTATACAGGCCCAGATGGAAACATCCATAAGACGCACAGACCTCACGGCACGGTTCAACGTTCCGAGAACTTTTCATATCCTGAGAGCAGACGTGTCAATGTGCTTGTCACATAAAGTTACAATTCTTTTCTGACCTATCTGTTCACAGGGTGTTTCATTTTTCGTGCGAGTGACGTGATGGAGCCCAGGGGTAAACGCAGTTTCAGCGAATGTACAGGATGCAATGACGAAGCAGAAACTATGCAGAGTTCGAACCGATGTACCAAGGCACAGCGGCCCAGGTTAACGCCTTGGTCATTCTTTAAATGCACTGACCCTGCCCTTGAACCAACATGACACCAGAAAAAAGGTAAAGCTCTTTCTGTATTTAATTGTCAAGAAATAAAGACGGGGTGTTGAACGATCTTAACCCCGCCACTAAGGATGCGTCATAGCTCAGGCGGTTAGTCGCTGGCTTCCCATCGCGGAGGCCTGGGTTTGGTCATATGCGATTTGTGGTAGACAAAGTGGCGCTAGGGTAGGTTTTCTCCGAGTACTTCGGTTTCCCCTGCCAATCTTCATTCCACCGATTGCTCTACAATCACCACCATCTATCATCAGGGGCTGGTAAAATAGACCAGTAGTGGCCGCAGTACCAACTACCGCAGTCTCGCCCCACTAGGAATAATAAAAACAAAGAAAACGGCACTTGATGGAGGTGAGTGGTGAGCTTCACGCACCGCTCGCTTTATCCTCCGAGACAGAACACCCTGTAGCTATCGGATATAATTCTAGGAGTGTCCCGGAGCTGGTGTGAACGCGGTCGACAAGAGAATTGAACCCCAATTCCTTAATCGACCAGCCTATTCTCACCCTCATATATAACAGTTGTTACAGCCTGAAGTGTACTATCTCTATTTTTTTTTTTTTTAAGTTTCTTGAGGTGGGGTGTGACTGAGTCCACTTGGTACGTCAGCCATTAACAACTATTGTACCAGACCGGATGATATATTATGAGTGTAGAGCAGTAGGTGGAATGAGAATTGGCAGGGAAAATAGAAGTACTCGGAGAAAAACCTGCCCCAGTGCCACTTTGCCCACCATAAACCTCACAAGACCGGACCTAGGCACGAACCCGGGCCGCTGCGATGGGAAGCCATAGTGCGACTGTAAGGATTAGACCAATTGAAAAATTCAGTGACCTCATCGGGACCCGAACCCGCCACCTTCCGACTTGTAGCATAATGCCTCAACCAACTACGCTACCGCGTGCCCATCTTCATATTTTAATGGTTTAAATTTCCAATATTATTTCACCCCTTGTCCCTTCTCTGGTTTAATAATAAAAGTAACAGAATTATTGTGTACTAAGGGCTGAAATATTGAAAAATGAATGTGAGCCTTGAATCCTATGAATGCAGTTGCATGTTATAATTAGCTCGACTTATGACCCATTTAAGGGAACTTATTAAGTCAGCCATACCAAGGTTAAGGCAACTGACTTTGGAGTTGCACCACTTGCATTGAAAGGAAACACGGATTAAAAATAATTAATTGCTGAACTCTGTATTGAAACCATTAACTTAACACCAACGTTAACACAATAAAGGTACAACTGCAATTGTTGCTGTATGTTAGAGCAAGAATGTTATATATGCAACTGACAGCGTACTCACAGCACCCTTTGAATCCTCTGCCCCCCCCCCAATTTTGGCGTTTCACCAGAATTAGAATAGACAAGAAAAATTCAGCAACACACATAACCTTGTGTACACAAAAATATTTATTCACTGTAAAGTTGCGGGCAGTCAACAAACGCAGTCCGGTCGAATTATTCTTCTGTAGCCACAATGGTAACGTACTTTTTTTGCCTCTGATGTAACATCACCACTAATATAACTGCCAATACCATTCTTTCTAAGTTCTGCTTCAAAATTTCTCACATAAATTTGTTACGCTGTAACTAATTACGGATATTAGAGAGATATTTACTACTACTTCTTTTTTAGGTTATGTATTACATTATATACAAGTATTGTCATTCGTCTCTTCAAAGCCTGGGGGCGCACCGGTTCTGAACCTCTGTTCTAAAGGTTTGCATACATATCTTTGAATTATTTAGTAAACTGTTGTAGCCGTACTGTCTATAATCAATACGGGATGAAAGTATGGCATGTTTCAAATCTACTGCACCATATCAAACAACCTCTGCAAATAAATATCTAATTAAGTATATAAAATAGCTATACTCACTGGCATTCGTTCATAATTTCCTCCTGGGTTCGAACCTGGACCGGTGCCAATTTCTCCACTGATTCATCATAATTGCAGAAACAACGTGTGATTTTGTCATCGAAAGTATTAACAAGATCTTCCAAAGATCCTGAGAAGGTCTCGGTGAAATTATCCGCCACTGACGAAACTTCAGAGCCACCACTGCCACCAATGTGGGGGGGATGCCCCACAATATTTTGCTGAAGTTGATTCTGAACATGTGTTGTTTGTTGTTCTGAAGAAGTCAACTGATGTGCAGTTTGTAACACAGCATCATTGTCGTTCAACTGTTGAGTCAGCTGCTGTGACGGTAACACTACCATCCCGTTGTTTGTTGATGTTGATAGTAAACCGCTTAAAGTTGCTTCCTTGTTGAAATTATTAGAATTTCGTGCATCTTGATGAATGAAATTGTCTTCACTGACTGTTATAGACGTGGATGAGATCTGGTGCTGTTGGAAATCTCCTGGCATTACACCCCAGTCTTCTGTTTCTTCAAATTGTGCTAATGGGGCTTCGAATTTTAGTTCGGCCATCTTGCTAGCCATGTCGCGCATCGTCTGCTACACTCCCGAGCGGCTTGCGCTTCTGCGCCTGCCTGCCTGTGAATGGAGAGAAACTAAAGCGTGGTCGCTTGCGGAGACTAGTGGAGGGGAGCTCTCGTGCTGAGCGTGACGATGTTCTCGTTGATTACGAGAAACTGTTTTGATTCTACTGTCGTCTGCTTTCGATTTAGTATATCGGTCAATATGTTTCGTCCAAATCTTCACCCATCGGATGAACCAAGATAAACTTCATATCTGGAAAGAAGAAAAATGAATACTCATGTCAACAAAAATGTGACCTAAATTTAAATTTTAATACAATCGTACTATAATAGATGCCGGGATAGCTCAATCGGTATAGCGACAAAATGGTTCGATTGCCGACAGGGGAAAGTGATTTTTCTCTTCTCCACAGCAACCACACTAGCTCTGGAGAACAACCAGCCTCATATCCAATGGGTCCCGGTGGCTCTTTCCCTGGGGCTAGAGCGGCAGGGGAGTGAAGCTCACCACTGAATTCCACCTAATGCCGAAGTCTCCACCCTCCCCCATACGTGTTAATGCCTTGGTGCTTAATTAATTAAGCACAGGGACAACTTTGGCACTTTACCTAAGTCGCTCTCCACAATTTGTGAAAATCGGAGCCTTGATCTGTAGTTTCAATATGCGGTAAGTGATCCCATGTATTACAGATACTACAAAAGAGAAGTACAGCAGTTTTCATAAATAATTTTGAACGTCCGATTATGATCCATTACGGTCGAAACATGTATGTCATGTAAAGAAACATCTTTAGACGTGTTGCATATAAGACTGTTGAATAAGTGACTTGAATAATAAGTGATATGCAAAAGGATGCTGCAATATAACATGAAGTTCCTCCAAAACGTCGGTAAACTTCCACCACACTTCATGACGTCACATCGCAGAAAACACAGCTCTACCATTTTTCTTTTCCTTGGCACTACAGCCCCAGTGGGCCTAGGCCTACCTCCGTGAACTTCTCCGTTCACTTTTCTAGATCTTACACATACGGTAGGACTCCTAGGGCGGGTGATCAACTCGTCGCAAGGCCTCTATCTGTACACAAACACAGAAAAACGCACACACACAAACTAAACATCCATACCCTGACTGGGATTCGAACACACGATCCCGGTTTCCAAGCGACCGAAGACAGTACATGCCGCTCGGCTACCGTGACCGGCAGCTCTACAATTTTGGTCAGTGAAGGAGAGAGAGGGGTGGGGGAACACCGGGCTGCACCGCCTAGCACAGTAATGACATGTCAGAGAAATCCATCAAACGTCCTTCTTCTGTTTTGTATTCAGGTCCCAAACCTCACGTCAGGGCCGTGCCCGTCAAATACACGCCACACAAATCGGACATGGTTCAAAGCAGCGTGGAGAGATT